AACTCCAGTTGAATCAAGATTAGTCATGGTGGCTCCTCCCCTATTAAAACTGCATAACGTGCAGAATAAATTCAATAGGCATATTACAGAAGAAAATAAACATCCTTAACAGAAAAAATGCCAAATCTAGAAACAGTGGGCAAAATACCCAGAAATTTACTTATTCTCTTCAAGAAAATGAAAACCCAGATTCAAAAATCAAGAAGAGCCCGTAATATACACAGAGAAATGAAACCTTATCAAGATTAAGACATGGGCTAACTTTTGTTCTTGGAGGGCGCGGAGTGGCTGTTGACTGCTACGTATGAAAAAGAGATTCACAGCCTTTTTTACAGATTCCTTTTAGATGCACCTAACGCGCACAGTACACATACTATGATATTATTGATTGACTTTCCAAAGCTGAAAATCTTGATGCATGCGAGGCGGGCTGTAGAAAATCTTTAAAAACCGTTATGCAATCAAGAAAATAAAAAGATACCCAATTAAATTAAATTATCAGTTGCGTAGTAATATGCACGAAAAATAAGAAGGATTGAACTGGAAACAGACCGCAAATGAATTTATAAACTGATATAATTATTGATTTGCATGTTTTTCGGGAAAAATAATAAAATATTAAAGTGCCTATTGATTAAAAAGAGTATAAAAGATACGATTCTTTTTTATTATTATTATATTTTTAAACGTACGAGTCATTTTCGATATTCATATCGGGGATTTTACGACAGTGAGCGTAATAAAATAATATCTGAATTAGAAAACGATGAAAAAATGGTCATGTTCTTTTATAAATTAATTCCGTGTATTATAATAATATTGTATTGGAAAACGATGAAAAAATGGTCACGTAAAATAATTCCATTCGTCATCTTTGGACAAAAGGGACATATAATATAGACATATTCCAATATGGAGAAATCCGAACAGAATATACCAGAGATGATGTCGTGCTTCAATAAAAGATTCCTCAATTTCTAAAACTGGATTAAGTTGGTATTCTATCATTGTTTTACGCAGTTTACCAAACATCTATAAAAAGCCTTTATATTAAACACGTCTGGTCGATAAAAACTTCACATCGTTGACGTGATAAAAGAAATGTAAAAATAAATGGAAGCTACTCCATCATAAGATGGTAAAAGATTTAGTCCATATTTGATCCTCATTCTTTAAAAGTTGAATTTATTTTTTTAAAATTCATTTCCAATCATGAATTCTTTTAATTATGGAAAATTGCAGTAGCGGTTCCTAATCTTTCTAATTTTTGTACACTTTACCATAATTTTCATTTTGTGCTAGCGAAGATTCCAAATCTTTCATAAATATGCAGTTGGAGTCCATCTATTTGACTGTTAGTTGGCTAATAAAATTGATTTTGATCTAAATCTAAAATAATTTCACGTAAACTCAAAATTTTTCCCAACTACATATTCTCCAAAAACTCACTTTTACAAAATCTATTCTTCAGAAAAAAAAAAAAAATGAAGCTAAGACAAACCTTTAAGATTTTTTAAAACCGTAACAACTTTAACCTCCTAACAATGATTTACTCAAATCTTCTTCCATCTCAACTACCATCTCTCTCTACAAAGTTCTTCTTCTGCCAACCACGATACCACCCTTTGCATTTGTTGCCATAATTCGAAATGATGCGTACAAGAGCCTAATATTAGATAAAAACGTAGCAAAATTAAATTCTTGACATTTTATTTTGTTCACAACTGAGTATTTATGGAACACCTTAATTAATTTTGAACACCGTGACGTTCTAATTTTCAAAAAGGACAACTATAGAGAGTCAGACACACGCTAAGTGATTTATCTTCAATGAAAAACACACATCTTACTCATTTGCATTGATAAACTTTTAGTAAAACCCCAATTGGATAATCTTGTTTCAAGTTTCACGACCCCGTTACATTTGTCACCATTGTCGGTTTTGACGTAAATTGCTTAGTCGACAACCGCATTGTAAATGATCTTTCCAGAAATGAAAATGATAAAATGAGGTTTATAGCAATATCTTCAAACGAAAAGGTTAAAATGCACTAATTTTTTTGCCGCTTATGATATGGAGTAGTCATAAATTGGCATTGCCCCCATAAGGATTACGTGAAAGATTCGTTGCAGTATGATTGCTAAGCAATTTTTAACAATTTGAGTTAGAAAATCACGTAATTAAGTTTAGTGATCCAATTGAAATTTAATTGAAGTTCAATAGTTCAGTTAGAAACTCAACTGAGATTTTGCAGGAAGTTCAATGATGACAAAATAGAGTGAATAATGTCATTATTATCATGTTCTGCACGCTAAATCAACCAATTTAATATATGGATGGGGAATTTTAAAAAAATAGCTAATTCCATTCTTATCAATTAAAAAATATCTAATTTTGATAACTCTTGCAAAAATGGCCAAATTTAGCGTTAAATTGTCTATTATACCCTTAATGTAAAATGAAACAATTTTTTTTTTTTCAATTTGTCA